TTAATTTCCACGAATTTCCACTATTCTGCCATCTTGTACCGTATTAAATTGATTTTCAAGGAATTTAATTTCGCAAATCTTGAAAAACAAAATTTATTATCCTCAAAAATAACCTGCTATATGGTATACACTACAGCGTGTGCACTCTCTCACCTATTCTTAGTTGAAAGTCATTGAAAGAGTGCTTGTTGATGAGGTCCAGTTTCTTGATCAGTTCAACAGCAAACAGACACAAATGAACCACAGGATGATTCTTACTGGTCTTATTATTAGTGTCAACCTAAATATATACAATATATAACTATTATTGTAAGTACAATATACAGGAGCCCCGTTAAAATTCAGTCATTTATATGCATTCTAAATTAAATCAAGTAATCAAGAGTACATATAAGTATTCTTGATTAAATGCACTTTAATGTACTGGTAAAGGTGCTTACTTTTCTTTGATTGAGTCCAGTGGCTGCCATGTAAGTAGAACCGATCGTCTTTATCTTTTCAACGCTGCTAAACTTTGGCTTATTCAATACCTAAAAGAACAATAGTGCTTAAATCACTCCCTCTTGGCTCTATCCTCCTCCCTCCCTCACTCTATCTCTATTTATGTTTTTACTTCATCAAAATCTGATATTATTTCGTTGAGCAGTCTCAGGCACTCCTTTCCATCATCGTTGATTGATGATTCACTATAAAAGTCCCAAAAGCTCGGGATAGACGCAAACATAACACATATTTCATCGTGATCCTCAGAATAAAGCTCCTAAAAATAAGAACATTAGTGCTGGTGTCTATTTTGTCTTTGTTGTTCATTTTAATCATAATAATAATAAGGTTTTCCCACAAAGCGAGCTAAACAGTACATGGCATTTGGAGTAGTAATTCATAAATAAAATCCAATTTTGATGATCAAGATCAGCTCAAACAGCAACAAAACATGTACATGTATATCAGAATTATAAAGATGGATAATTCTCTCTTAGTCGTCTGTGACGAAATTTATTGACCCAAGACTTGGTTGGTACAATAGTACAGGGACTTTGGCCCCCTTTTGAAGCAACTTTAAAAATTCATAAAAAATTCAATTTTGATCGGAATCAGCTCGAACTTTCTACACAACATAAGTACATGTATATGTATCAAGAAAAAATATAAAAATGGAATTTTCTCTCCTAGCCATTTTTAGCAAAAATTTGGTGAAACCCCTGTACTATAGTACAGGGACTTTGGCTCAATTTTTGAGCAACTTTAAAAATTCATAAAAAATTTAATTTTGGTTGGAATCAGCTCAAACTTTCTACACAACATAAGTACATGTAAATGCATCAAAAAAAATAAAAATGGAATTTTCTCTCCTAGTCATTTTTAGCAAAAATTTGGCAAAACCCCTGTACTATATAGCAAGGCTGCAAAAGTCATGGCAGCCATTTTGTTTGGGGGTGAATCCTACTTAGTAACGCTACCGCGTTACTAATAGTACAGGTACTTTGGCCCCCTTTTGAAGCAACTTTTAAAATTCACAAAAAACTCAATTTTGATCGGAATCAGCTCAAACTACACAGCATAAATACATGTACATGTATACACATCATAAAAATTATAAAAATGAAGAATTCTTTTCAAGCCATGTTTGATCCAAA